TCTTAAAGGAGACAAGTCAAGGTATTGCAAAGAATAAAATAATTTTACAGGGATTAAATAAGACAAATTTCAAGAAATGTTTGAAGAACTGTCTTTTAAAATATATAATAATTCATAATTTATTATTTGAAATTCAGAAATTTGAATAATAATGAAAAAGTATTTACATTCCTTGAATCGATATATATAGATATTTTTATATGACAATTTTTCCAACATATAAAATTTAAAAAAAACTCATAACTCAGCCAAAAAAGCATTAATTTGAATTCGGAAAGCTTTCCCGTGTTAGTTTTTATTTAATTTATAAATCTGCATACTCAATTTCAAATGTAAAAAATTTCAAATTTTTTTGACAAATTTTGTTAGTTTTAACGATGTAACCCCTTATAAAATTTTGAAAAATTTTATACCAATTTTTTTTTTTGCCAGGAGATGGCCCAATCGACTCGGCTATTGATGCTGATCAATAATATTTATGATTTATAGGGTCGGAAATGACTCCATCACAGGGTTTCAAGCTTCTGACTGAAATTATAATACCCTGTAAAGGGTATAATAAACCCTTAACCCTAAGCTTAACCCTCTCAATTATCACAAAGATTTCCACAAGTTTTGATACAAAATTCTAGTAAAAGTGGTTCCTTCTCTGGCCGTGTACATTCAGTGTATTGTATAAGAATAAGAAGGCTTTTCCTGGTACATTTTCCCCTTCAGCTTGATACAATTTCCAACCAGGAAAAGCCTCCCTCCCCCGCTTATCTTCCCCTATTCTAGGGCTTCATCGTCTCCGGGGCCTCCATCATTCAATTTTTAATCAGTCGGACGCAATCTGGCCGAGTAAAAGTCAACTTAGAAGCTAGTGCTCCATTTGGGCAAACTTCTGACAAATTTCCAGCCAGCTCCAAGTTCCCTTCCTCCCCCCAGGCGCCATATCCTTGGCAAAAACCCCATCGTCTCTTGTCCCCCAAAGAAATGCTGTTTAAATAGAAATGTGTTGTTCATTTGAGTATTTTGTGTGTGTGTGTGTGCGGCTTTTATTATGGCTAAGTGAATGTTTATGCCCGATTTCCAAACCCACACTCCCCCGAAACCGGGTGGCAATCCTTTGGCTCCTTCCTTCTTCCTTATCTCGCTGCTTATGTGGGGCATTGTCCAGGCATTTTCAGCGGTCTGTAAAACCCCTCTAAATCGAGATCCATTTTCATATTTGCTTGAAGCGAAATAGCAGACGTTTTCCCCTCCCCTCCTCGAACATTTCTTTCCTGATGTGGCTCTGATTTCATTTCAAGTTCCGTTTTTTTCCCCCCTTTTTTTGGGCTTTATTAGCCGGCGCAAGTTTTAAAATGTTTTATTATTGTTGGCTACATTTAAACGATTCTCAACGAAAATGGTATAGGGTTACTCTTTTCCTCAACAAAAAAAAGAAAAGGAACAAATACCGTAGAAGGGAAATGGAAAACTGACTGACTGACTGTCAAATCGAGTGTGCACAAATCGTTTGCAGATAGACCAGTTTTGGGTCACATATGAACACAAGGAGAAAGGGATTTTTCAATGGTAAATGGTTTGGGTTAGTAGCAAAATATAAAAAAAGGAAGTAAAATGTGTAGGGTCAAGGGTGAGATTCTAATACAAGATGATGCTGATGATGATGATGATGATGATGAGATGTCTGGGCTGGTGGCCAAAAACTTGTGTCTGGAGAGCACAAAAAAAAGAGCTGATAAAGTTGTCTCGAAATAAATGAAAAGGATTCAGGATGAAGGAGAAGGTTAAAAGGATATAATTCTGCCTAAACTTACAACTTTATAAACGCAGGGAATACTACTTTACTATATACTTTAAAACTTATATTGTATTTATGTATTATTATTATTAAAGTTGGTAGTTTTCAAACTTCTTTAATTCAAGGTGAATGCTAGGCATTCACAGAATCTGCTGAATGAAAGTCCCTTTTCAATGAATTCCCTCGCATTCTGGCCCGATTTCATAAATGACTCCGAAATGCTTTGTGAGAAGCGATTGAATAAGGAGTGCTATATATATATATTCATGGATATATATGTATATATAGAGAAGGAAGTTGGTAGCTCCACGGCACTTGGTCACTTATTCATGGCGAAGCAATGGACCATTCACACACACACACAGACTCACACTCACACTCGCTTGCATATCATGCAACCATTCAAACGGCATTCAATGGAGGCAGCAGGCAGCAGCATCAGCATCAGCATCAGCCGAGTTTCCCTTTTCAGGGATTCCCCTTCAGCTTGCTTTTCCCACTCGCTTTTCCCCGGTTGCATCTCGCTGTGTTTGGCTTTCGCCCGTTGCGTTTATTTCACATGCTACTTAACACCCGAGGCAAATTAGTTGCGCCTCGGCGCAGTTTCGAATATAAATCAACACGCGGACAACAGCAACAACACAGGAACAACAACGTTGAACAACATTGGAAGGAAGCTGGGTTGTGAGTTCGATGGTGGCGGAAGTAGACACTGTTGATACCCTGCAGATAGGATTTTTCATTGGGGAAAACATATTGAAAGTGCTGTTCATAAATATAAGTATATAAAATCTGCTGATACTTTTTTATAAAGCAATTACGGTTGAGAATTCAGATTCAACTATTTTTAATATTCTTTGCGAAGAATTACCTCTTTGTTATAAACTACATTTTGTTTCCTACTTTTGAGCGACTTTTCCGAGAGTTTTTAAACCTTTTTATGATACATTATCTAAAAAAAACCTACTATATAAAATATACTATACAAAATCCACTTAATAAAATCAACTATATAGAATCAACTGTATAAAATCTTCTACATAAAATCCCCTTTAATCCTTTTAACTTAAAATTTCGATAAGCATCTATATTCGATGATACCCCTTAAAAAGTGGTTGTGCCTTCGGAGCCATTTCCGAGTTTTTCGCAACAGATTTTTTATGGTCGCTGCCGAAATGCGAGAAGTGCGGAAGGAGCGCGAAAAGCATGCACCCTGTGGCTGCCACACATGTGCGACGAGCTGCCCCCGAGGGCTGACACACACACACACGCACACACCCAAGAACACACACAGACACACCCTGCTCCCCCATTGCAACACACCCTGGCAGCCCTGTCGAATTGCACAGGGAACGCAGCAGCCTTACACTTGGGGAAAATTATATTAATTAAATAGAGATACCTAAAATTCAATAAAATACCTATCAAATTAAATTCAAAAATACTATTATAAATATTTATTATGGTTGTAATTATTACACAAATATTCTTAAAATTTATGTTAGTTTTCATTTAGTTAATTCGATTTTGAATATAAAATATTAACAACAGATGAAGATTTCACAGGGAAAATGGAAAGAAAAATGTATACATTCCTTAGATAAAACTTTTCCTAGGCTTAAAATAATATAAATATAACAATAAAAAATACTAGAGAACCAAAACTGCATCCCAAAGCTTCTTTCTCATAAGCCTTCATAAAAACTTAAAGTCTTGGAAAATGTTAATCTAAACAATATATACTCTTTCCTTTTCACTTTTCCTGTTATGTTTTCTTAATATTCCTTAATAGAAATCCAACTAATTAATTAAAAACTAACATAAATAGATAGATATTACACCTAAATCTTCCCTCTTTGATTAGCAAACCCCACTATTATTTCCAGTGTAGCTCTCGTTCGTACGCACAATTGTGCAAATTGACAGATTTATAACAAAATGCAATGAATAACGGTATTATTCACACACACACAATCACACCCAGACGGCGGGGGTTGGTGGTCTGCAAAGATCTCGAGGACTTAAAGGGGGTGTCAATATACATATATCTACAGATATGGGTTGCATCCTTCAGTCTGCGGTGGACATTTCAACAGGCGCCTTAATGGTTTAACCCACCACCACTACCTTCCCCCCAAACACATATCTTTCTTATACCAATTTTGATTCCGATTCCGAATCCGATTTCAAGTCTTCATCTTTTGGGTAATCCCCGTGACCAGTATATAAAATGGGGGCATATGTGGAACATTCAAGGCATTTCCCACACTTCCCAAAAAAGCAAGAAAAAAAATCCAATGAGCGATGCGGATTAGCCCAGTTCCAGTAATAAATGAATTCTTGCCCGGGTGTGAGGCAGAGATGAAAATGAATCTATGGAGTTCAATCAGTTTTAATTGATTCATTTCAGGGATGAAAACAACTCCATCCCACCCGGATGGATAATGATGATGTTTTTGTGGGCCGCTCTCTCTCTCTTTCGTCGGTTAATAAATTTATTATCTTGGGAATCTCTTTCTCTCTCTCTCTCTCTCGGATCTGCTTCCTCTCCAGCGGAAGTATCTCGTTGATTGTGAACTGAAATGGGAGCCACTATATATATACATACTTATATATGTATATATATATAAAGTGGAACTACTACTCAGGCTCTGGCCATGGCCATGGCTGGAAAACGGGTCGCAAATTTATTATGATTAAAGTTGAAAAGTTGAAATTGATGCCCAAAACCCGGATTGGGGGTTATATAGTGTAGTGTATAGTATTCCAAGAGCACAAGAGGAGTTGGGGTGGGAATTTCTCAATGGGAGATGGAAGCTGGATGATAATCATGGCAGATGATCTTAAATGGCAGAATGGTCATAAAAAGCAATCAACTATTGAGAAAGGGGTTTAAACACAATCACACAGAGTGTCGAGAGTTGTGATTTTTCAACACAAGATTTAGAAGAAGATATGAGAGAAGGCAAGGAGTTTGAGGGATTTTTAATAATAGAGTGTTCTATGGAATTAAGCCTCTAAACTATCTAAAATATATTATATTCTTCAAACTTAAACCAAGCTTAAACAGCAACACAAAGACTAATTGATGAGCCTTTCTTCACAACTTGACCAAGTTCCTTTCTTACAAAATATAGACAATTTAGTTAATATTATTTATTAAATAATACAATATATATATTATATTTTTATTATAATTTTCCAAACTCACCATAACAATAGTCCATTTCTTGCAAATGTGACGCAGCGCCTTTTTGTAGCATCACGGTTTCATGGTCCAGAAATTCTTCTTGGGTTTCGCTCCAGTGGAAAGTGCCACATTGCTGCTGCTGCTCATGCTCATCCCCATACCCATGCCCATGCCCATGCCCAGGTTGCTGCCATTGCCGCTGCCCATGGTCATGCCCATGTTGCCCACGGGCACGCATGTTCCTCCTCCGATTCCTACTCCACCTCCTCCTCCATTGGAGGTCATCGATCTGCCAGAGGCACGCTGCTGATCCGCCGAGCATCGTCTCGGATAACTAAAGGGGGACAGGGATCCATTGCCACCATTGCCACCACCATCCTGAGCACCACCCACTGCCAAGGTCATGCCAATGCCCTGATCCTCGCCACAGCTGGCCATGCTGCTCTTGGAGGTCGAAGTGCCCGAGGCAGTCGAAGAGCGGCAGCTGCGCAGATTATGCGGCAACGTATTGTTATTCAGATTGTGATGGTGGCCACCCTGCATCTGATGCTGATGGAGTTGCATTTGATGCTGATGCTGATGCTGCATCTGCATCTGATGATGATGCATCTGATGACCAGTGGGCGTAGCCGACTTGTAGTAGCGCAGGCTCTCATTGTAACTTGCCCCACTGCTGCTGCCGCTTCCGCTGAATCCAGAGTCCAGGTCGCCCTCATCGAACTCGGGATTGATGCAACTGCTATGACCATGATCCTTCAACTCCATGCTGTTCAGTGTGCTCGATAGATTCTCCAAACTGGCATGCGAGGCGGAGCTGGAGGTGTGCGAGGTGCCATGACTGCCAGAATTGGCTGCTCCACCGAGGAGTCCACCACGCCGCGGCCTCTGAGCCGTCTTTGAGGCTCCCGAAGACGATGCCGCTGCTGCCGCTGCTGCTATCTGAGATCCCGCAGATCCGCCACCCACTGCTCCTGAACCACTGCCAGTCACCAAATTCGATGTGTTGGTATTGGGTTCATCTTCGCCCAGGGCGTGACTGGGACTAACATCCGGCGGCGTGGGTGGCATTATCAAAGCCTCCAGCGATAGATTCAGTTCGTCCAGCACCCGGAAATGATTGTGCTGGACGCGACGTTGCTCCTCCTTCACGTTACCCGCACTGGAACCGCTCGCAATTCGGTTGTCCGAGAGCACCTTGCGGATCTTCTGCTCGCTAACCTCCTCGTACAGATTCTCGGTGGTGCCATAACGTGTGGTATATGTATGACGATCCCGTTCCTCGGCACTCGGTGAACTCGATGTGGACTGACCGCCATGGTTGGAGCTGCTCTTCGAGCGGAAACTCTTGGCCAGCAGGGCGCGGATTGAGTTTCGGGGCGGACTCTTTGAGTGACCCTGGGCCTGACCCGACCCAGATCCTGAACCAGAGGCGGAAACGGACCCTGAGCCGGAACCAGAGCTAGAACCCGATCCCTGGGCGGGCACATTTGTATGACATTTGGCCGCTCCAGGTTCATAGTAGGCATACGAGTAGACATGGTTAAAGGGTGCCGAAGGAGCAGCTGCTCCAGAGCCACTGGCACCACCGACGGCAGAGCCGCCAACGGCACCACCGCCACTCGCTGAACCACCTGAGCCTCCATTGAAGGCCACATGCAGCGAGGGATTGGAGGCACCACCGCCATGCGAGGGCGTGGCACTGCTGCTGCTGGGCGTCATAACGCCAGCGGCGAATCCATAGTCCAGTGATGAGGTGGACGACGAGGATTGTGTATTGGGCGTCGGTTCAAAGCGTTCCATGGTGGCGGCTATATTTTTGCGAGACCATTTGACCTGGTTGAAGAAGGAGAAATATGGGTTAATTTGGGTATATTAATATGGTAGAAAAAGTTCTGTCTCTCATTTCCTGAGAAAGTATCACTCTCATTTTCTGAGAAAGTATCACTCTCCTTCTCGGAGAAAGTATAACTCTTTCTCTGATTAAGTCCCTCTTTCTCTGAGAAAATACCTCTCTCTCTCTCTCTCTTAAAGAAAGCAACTCTCTTTCTCTCTGAGAAGGCATCTTTCTTTCTCTATGAGAAAGCAACTATCTCTTTCTTTGTGAGATAGCAACTCTCTCTTGCTCAGTGAGAAAGCATCTCTCTCTCTCCCTTTGAGAAAGCAACATTCTCTATCTCTCTGAGGAAGCAACTTTCTCCTTCCCTCTGAGAAAGTATCTCTCTCAGGCTCTCTAATTTGAACCTGCCTTCTTTCTGTAGCTCTCTAATTTATGCCTGCAGCATTCTCTTTCTGGCTATAATCTTTAAGAGCTCCAATACCAAAAAGTTCTTATTTGCTTATATTATATTTATTCTAGATCAATAAAGAAGTTCCCTTCTTTCACAAGTTCCCCATTTAAATTGCGCTTAGCAAACTATTAAAGCCTTCTCAAAAAATGTTTAATAGTTATATTAAATATTAATACAAAATAGTATTAATACTTAAAATACAATTAAACTTTAAGGGATTTTAATTGACACAATTCCGCAGGGAATATACATTTTATCTTTGGTAAAAAAGCATGAATTTCGGACAAACTGTGACCTGTTCCAAGATTAACTTGTCAGGTGCAACAAGGCTGAACTTCCATTCCGTATATCATTGATGATTTCCATATAATTTAAAGGCTTAACCAGCTCAACAGTTGAAACAAATCCTGGCAAAATGTTACGATAAATGTATAAAAATTAACAAATAGATCTAGATAAATACTTGATACCTTAACTAGCTAGGATTATCCAGTTTAATCTAATCTAATAACTCACCTGCTGCTCCACATCCATTTTGTGATTGCTCCGCCGACTGTGTCCCCGTCGTCGTCTCTCCGTGAATGCCTCACCGTGACTGCTGCCCATGAGCAATTGATCGCCCATTCCCAATCCCATTCCCATCCCGATGCCATTCTGTTGCGAGGAGGAGGATGAGGATGAGGGTGGCGCTGGCATACAGAACTCAATGCTGTCCATGTCATCGGGAAAGATCAGGTGCGAACCCACATGACCGTGGCTGTTGCTGCCACTGCTGCTGCTGCCGCCGCTGTGCTGATGCGGATGCGGATGCCCCAAGGTGGCTGCCGCATGGCCATGGCCATGACCCATGCCATGATTATGACCCATTCCGTGGCCATGGTTCAGGGTCATCTGATTGCTGGGATGCTGATGCGAGGCCACCATCCGTTGGCCATGTCGCATGGACATGGAGCCGCCACCACCACCACCACCGCCACTTGAGCCACCTCCAACGCCAACCACACCCGGTGGAGCACTGTGCACTGCCACCGATGTCGTTTGCGTTTGATGCGGATGCTGATGAGGATGCTGGTGCGGATGTGGATGCGGATACTCGTTGGCAAACTGCGGTGATCCGCAGCGATTCTGGAATTTGGCAGCCGTGGCTGCACTGCCTCCACCGCCTCCTCCACCACTGCCGCTGGCCGGATACATGGTATATAGCTTCAAGCGATTCCTCTCCTGGGCGAGATTCCTTCTCCTCTTCTCACGACGAAGAGAAAGGCTGACTGCGTCTTGGCGGGAACTTAGCAGCCGCAGGACTTGGAGTTGGACATCATCTGCAGAGAACGGGAAAAGCCATTAATCAGCATGGAGAGTGGAGAAAGTGGACGATGCAGAGAAACAGAGAGAGGGAGAGAAAGAGAAATGGAGAATATCGGTGAGGGAGGGAAGAGAGAATATCGCTCAGAAATGCGTTGAGAAGGCCAAGAAGGAGAAGCAGGGATGCATGACGGACATGCCATGCCAGAATCCCACAAATAAAAGCTGGAATTATGAGCCTCGCACCCGCAGCCGATGCCAATTTATTTATGCTCGAACATTGTTGCCACAGTAAGTGGCAAGCAGAATGCACTCGAAAAAAAAAATAGAAACTAAGACGGGATAGATACAAAAAAAAAATATTGAAGAGTAAGGAAATATATTTAAATATTTCCAAAACTATAAATATAAAACAGTACATATTTGATTTTCTAAAAGAAGAAATCACAGCTATTTCTTTTAAAGGATTACCTTTCCTTAAAATTCTCAAGTATGCATTTAAGTAGTATATATCTACAAAAATGATTATTTAGAAAAGAAAAGAAAAGATTGAAGAGTAAAGTAAAATGTTAAAATCTTGGTAAAACTATAAATATAAATCAATAACACATTTGAATTCTTAAAAGTATATTTCACAACTATTCCTTTCAAAGGATAAACTTTTCTTAAAATTCTCAAGTATGAATTTAGAGGCAGGAAGTATTGAGGTACAACTATTAGGTAAATAAGAACTACAAAAGCTTTTTGATTTGAATAATAATAAGTATCTTTGGACTAAGATATTTAAACGGCTTAAGTTGTTTTTAAATAGGTAATCCTTTCTTAAAATTCCCAAGTACAAATTCCGAATTCTGATATTAAAAGAATTCGTTAGTAAAATTCTAAGGCTTCTTGCCTGGAATCAAAACAAGTATCTTTTGACAAAGATTTTTAAGTGTTTTAAGTGGGAGTACATATTTGTAAATATAACCATATATCGTATATGTTTTCGTTCAGTGTTTAAAGGGCAGACATGTAAAACATTTGGCGTTGGCATGCGAGGTCCCAGTTTCGGCTTCAGCTTCAGTTTCAGTTCCAGTTCCAGTTCCAGATCCCAATGTACAATATTTGTGGCTCTTCCTCCACGAAATGCCATAAAGCAGCATTAAAGCTATTAACAGTCAAAGGAGAGGCAGTGGGAAAAAATAGAGCTAGTGGAGAGCTGCTGCTCTGCCTGCCTGCCTCCTACCCCCTTTTTGCGTAGGGGGGAAAACATAAATCAATCAGAGGAGGCCAAAAAAAAAAGAAAATAAGAAAAAAGGAAGGGGACCAGGGGCTCCCTTTATGAGTGAGCCCAGCGTGTGTCCAAGATAATCCTAGAGGCAGACTGACAAAACCGGAACACACTCGCCCATATAAGTATACGGCCATCTGCAAAGTAAGCCATGCTCAAGGCCAACGCTGTGTGTGGGTGTGAGTGGGTGGATGGGGGAAGAAGGCCTGGCTATTAACGGACGGATGGTAATAAAACCATATCAAATAGCGATTCGAGTCGATGGTTATTAACATGTCCAAATGGAAAACATAATATAAGTGGATATATATATATATGTACATAAAAAGGAAAATATATATGAAAATATATGAAGTTTGTAAGTTAAATAGGAATTTAAGTATCTATTACACTAATCATTTAAGTTAGAATATTCATTTTTTCAGCTTCTCTTTTTCCATTGATCAACAATTAATTGTTTTACGAAAATGTTATGAAAATTGAGTGTTGCAATATTTGAAATATTTCTGATAACTTGGCCATAAACCAAATGTTCATTCTGGCTATTACATTTCACACCAGAGGAATACACCCTTCTCCCACCTCCCCCTTTTGACCAGGGGGCGTGGCTGCCTCCAAACAAAATCCAAATGAATTTTCCCTTGCAACAACTCGTTCGTTCGCGTTCTCTTTTCTCGTTTTCTCACAACTGATTGATATATCAAATTGATAGCCATCCGCTGCTATATAGTCAAATGCTTAGTTGTTGGCCATTGGAATACCCAATTTCCATTGCCCCTCGTAGATATTTTCATTTCCCTCGCTCTCTTTGCTCTCCATTTTCCCGCTTTCCGCCCCCCGGAAAAAATTCTATCTCGCTTTTATGCCCATCTCTATTCCACTTAACAAAGCTCGGGGAAATGTTTGTGCCTGCGTATTTGCCATTTTTGTTGCTCTTTCTCTTTTAGTTTTTTGTTAGCTTTGTTTTTTATTTGAAGCAATTTTTAGGTTCTTTCAAAGGGTATATTGAAAATATAAAGCAGTTATATTGATGTATATTTTTCATAAAACAAAAAAATATGAATTTTTTTAAATTGGAAACTTAAATTTGCCAGGGTTTTCTCTTGTAATTTATTTGATTTAAATAGTATTTTGTAAAAGGGAAATATTTTTCTGTATAAAAATTGGACCTCTTAGCTTGATTTTTTAAATATTTATATATTCCTATATTATTTTCTATACCTACCAAGTTATAAAAACCTTAGACTTGCATAGGCAATATTCCCCTATGTACTATTTTTTAGTTAGTTTTTGCTTTGGTTATTTGTTTCATTTTAAGGGTATTACAAGGAATAATAATTTTAAGGTCAAAGGTTGAAAACTCAGTGAAGGAGTCATTTCCGACCCTATAAATCATATATTTTCTTGATCAGCATCAACAGCCGAATCGATCTAGACACGTCCGAACAAAAAATAAAATTTTAAAAATTTTCAACAATTTTTAAGGGATTACATCGTCAAAAATTTTGTAAAAAAATTAATTTTTAAAAATTTTAAATATAGTATGCAGATTTGTAAACCTTATAAAAACTAAGATGGGACAGCTTTCCGAATTAAAATTAATGCTTTTTTTGGCTGAGTTATGAGTTTTTGAATCTCTGATTTATTTTAATTTATTTTAAGCTTAGTTAAGATTTATTTCCCAATCGATCAATTGCTAACTAAAAGTGTATATAAACTTCGGTTTTCCGAAATTAGTTTCCTTTCTTGTTTTTTTTTCGCTGCTTTTTTTTGGCAATGGTTGTTTCCTTTTTGGCTCAGGTCCTTGTTTTTTATTGTGCTTTTTTTGTTTGCCGATTGCATTTCACATGCAAATTCTAACGAGTTGTTTGTGGTCTTGTCGAGGCGTTGCCAACAAAAGTAACAACAATGGCAGGCAGCAGCAACAAATGCATTACAAAAAAATAACAAAACAAAAAAACGATGATAACAACAACGGCAACAATGACAACAATATGCTGTTTATTCGTTGCATTTTGTGCAACATTTTGATTTTGATTTTGATTTTCCCAGATTGAGTTGGTTCGGGCCAAAGCCAAACAAAAAAGAGAAATGCCTAGAGAGAAAAAAGAAAATGTGGGAATTAAAATGATAACTCCGGATGGAAACTATGGACAATATAGCAATTGATGTGCATTTTTCAATTAAGATTCGTAGGAAAACATCTAACTTGGGAATGAAACCAAAAAGTGCTAGATGCCAAAAGTATTGGCAGTGATTTAGAAACACAAATTATTTGGCAGGATATGAGGGAAGATATTGAAATTGAAATCGATTATTTTAGAAGAAGTTTGTACAGAGCAACATATTTGAAGTATAGAAAAGATTTGCTAAACTTGTATATAGTTTACTTTCAATTTTCTACTTGAATATTTCTTTAGAAATTCCCCTCCATTTCGTGAGTCAGTTCTCTCGTTTTAAAATGTAAAAGATATCTTTATGGAGCGATCTGGGCAATGAAAACAATTCAAGTTACTCCTTCTCGCTTGGCCAAAACCACTTGCCTAATGCAATTTTCAAATGCAAAAGCCATAAAAATATCTATTTTAATCGAACACTTTGTAGAACTCGCTCTTCCTCTCTCTCTCTCTCTATATATATATTTTTCTAGTTCCAGTGAGAGTCTCTCTGTATATTTTTTGTGTATTTTTTTTTGTCTTTTTTTGCGCCAGGTGAAAAGCAATTTAAAGTCTGCTGAATCTTGGGCTGAATCCACTTCCTGTTCGGGCAGCAGCTGCAGAGCGTATCTTATGGATGCTGGGCTGGTCCGTTGGAATACCAAAAGATTTGAATGCCTCAGCTGCCTGCTGGCAATTCGATTTCATGCTGCAATTTAATTTGCTTCACTCTGGCCAGGGCCATGTCGATTTGAAAAGCAAAAGTAACTCAGGGACGTGGCCAGAACGATGAGGAGATGCGAGGTGGAGCAGTAGGAGCAGTAGGACCTCTGTGTAGGTCCTGCGAAAAATGGGCAAATGCCAATGGCATGGCAACGGGGCAACAGGTTCATACGGGACGGACTCATTAGGCAGCTATCGAGTGCTTTCTGAGAGACAGAGGGATCGAGTCCAGGTATGGGGAGTCGACAGTTGGTTTGTCATTAACACATTTTGTGCATGTTGTGCATCATTAGAGGTCCTGGAGGGGTGGTCATGATGTTGATGAAAGCACAACTACACCGCAAGAAACTATAGCAAAGTTCTAAACTTCACCAGCTTGGAGAAATACATAGAAATGGTATTAAATTTAATTTGAGTCAATAAGAACAAAAAATAAAGAGGAATTTTAAGTTGTATGAATCCCTTTAACAGTTTTTATATTTTTTTTTTATATTTTCGTATAAATTTCTAATATATTGTTCCCCATTTTCTCGCCCTGCTTGTGGCATCTCTCACATGTTTCGTTATTTCAACAATGCTTCTGTGACACGTGGCGTCTGCATCACTTTCCATTCACCTCCCCATGTGCACTCCTCCTCCTCCTTTACTGGCCAAAATTATTCATTGATGTCAATGCCAAAAAGAGGAGATTTTTCCCTAGCCACCCCTGGGTGTGCTTTTCTCCAACCCATTTTCCGGGTTCTTTTGCCCTTAGCTGCTGCTGCTGCTGCTCCTGCTCCTGCTTGGCATGCATATGAAAATTGGCCAATTTGGCGCAGCGTTTGGCTTCACTTTGTAGTTGTTGTATGTGTGCCACACACACCCTCTGCCCATCTCATAGTTATACACACACACGGACACCCTCTTTTGTTCACCTACACAGGTCAAAAACTGTATAGAAGATATGGGAATTAATATATAGTCATATATATCATATATATATATAGTACAGAGAGGATTTTATATATATATTTATGGGTTTATAATATATATTTATGAAATGTTTTGTAATTATTTGAATAGTATGAGTTCTATATAATTATTGATATATTAGATTTACTCAGAATTCATTGTAGAATTTATTATATGTATTCTATTATATTTATTATTAAATAATTCTATCACTTAAAAATTCGTAAAAAGAGTTTCCAAAAATAGGCAATGATCTATGTTGAACTATATTTTATGCAGCATACTTTTAAGGGCTTTATCAGACATGATTTAAAAACAGATAGATAAAATTGTGCATTTTGCTTTAATTGCTCTAAATAAATTATCTCTTTATCTCTCTTTATTGGACATATATTTCATATTCCTTAAATATATACTTTATGTGTAGAATTTAGTATTTTCCCTCAGTGAACAATTTCCTGCCGCTTGCCATTTTCGCCTTTTGTTTCCCTTTCAGTGGCGACCTCCTCGTAATGACTTTAATTAACATACATACACGAAACTTTTCCGGCTGGCGGTCTGGTCACTAGAAAGGGGGAGGGGAGACGGGGCGTGGCTGTGGGCTAGGTCTAGGGAATCACTCAAGTGGATGCTTTTTTGGCCAAAAACCAAGAGAGGGAGAGAGGAGAGAGCGTTGAGGGGACACCAATGAAAACACATCCCAAAATGTGGGCCACAACTTGGTGGCCAATTGCAGCTGCAACAACATATGGGAAACGGCAACAACAGCCACAAAAATATACATATACATACACATATATATATATATATATATATATATATATTCTCAGAAACAACAAACGCTTAATGAAAGGGAAATGCATTTTCCACCCACAGCTGTTACGCTTTTCTTCTCACAGCGAATGGTTTTGTATTGGAAAATATATCAGAGTGTGAAAATTTGAGAAGGGGAAATGAGATCAGAGAATTAAGTAAAAAATAAAATTATGAGTCCAACATTTAATCAAATACTGTGAGATTAATTAAAGAATAAAATGGAAATAAAAGATTTTAGTAAGATAAAAACTCAGCAAGTCGGTTTTGAATTAAAGCCAAAGACATTTTCTTGATACTTCAATGAGCAACTTGAAGGAAACTTAGCTTAATTTCCATTATATTTAATTGGTTCTAACTACTTAATATAATTTAATTGTGTGCTATATATCCCAGATAACTGTCAAGAGGTCAAATTTCAGTAAAACCACCGATTATCGCCATGATATTACCCGCCACCTGTAATTTATACAACTCTTGGAATATTTGATTTCCGGTTTCCTTCAACAAGTCCTGTCTCCTCCCCAGAGGCCACTTGCTCCTCGATGAACTCCAAGCCTTAACTTTAGTTTCCAACCCCCTGATTTTCCTAAGATTTTCCACCCACAAACAGCCAGAAATAACCCCTCACTCTCAGGAAATCTAACCAAATGCCAACACAAATTTTGTTTGCCTTTTGTATTAGGTTGACAAAAATCAACAGTCGAGGGGGGTCGGAAAAGAGGAGTCGGAGGAAAGATGAGCACGAGCCTGCTTGGGAAATTCTAGGGAAAATGCACAGGAAAAATGGGGAGAGCTGAGATGGTGGCTAAGATGGAGGCAGATTGTTAAGGAGATTTATGTTGGCACACTACGCCCATGGAACAGGGGCAAGGATACACCAGGATATACCAGGAATAGGGGAGTCGCCAGCGAGCTGTTTGTCTTTTGCAAATGTTGGCCAATATTTTGCGGTAAAAGGTGAATTTATTAGCACTAGAGGAGAGGCTTCATTTACAGTTTGCTCAGGGAAAACCCTTCCATTGCAATCTTTTACACTTGGGGAAAAATATGAAAAAGATCAGTTGGCTTTCTCGGGAAATATTATTATGTGGCAATGAGAGAAATCACGTTTATATTTCGAAAAAAAAAAAACTAGAGGGGAAAAATGCCCTTCTTATCACAATTTAAAACACATTTTCTCTTGGGCCCAAAGATCTTGACAAATCATAAACAAAACTCTTCATTGGTCAGCTGCATTTTGTATCTAAGCTGGAAGAGCTTGTAGAAGAAAAACCTCTTAAAATGACAATAAAACCCAGAGAAGATGAGATGCATATCTGAAATATTGAGCTGAAAATGCTGATGAAGAGACAGTTAAGCACACACACACATGGGCGGGGGGTAGAATGGGATTATTTTGGAGGTTGGAAAGGGGGGACCACAAGATACGCATCTTTCGGATTGTTGCTCTTCAAATTTCCTTTCTGATTGTGCGTTAAGCCGATTCTGGGTTGACTTTTGTGTGTGTGTTGCGACATAAAACACAATAAAAGTGAAATAACAAAAAAAATAGAGTTTGGGTGATGACAGGGGTGGGTTAAGGGGCCTAAGGGGGCCAGGGGTCCAAACTTTCATGTCAACGCTATCATTTTCGAAATTCCAATAAGTTTTAGTATCAACCAAAGGAAAAAAGGTTCTGCCAAATAAAAGATTTAAACCAAAAAAAAATAGAGAACAAGACAGGGGCGTTGTAAAGATTTTAAGGGGTTTCTTTTTATTTTTTCCTTTCTTACCTTAATTTTTCGTAGATATTTCCAGTCACACTTGCCAGCAAACTCTGCAAAAAAAGAAGAAAAGACAAAAAATATTATAAAGAATTTAAAATTTAATTAGCATGCGTATACTTTTCAAACAAACTGTGCATCACACACACACACTCAAGGAAAGCAAAGAAAAACGAGTGGAAAAATCCTCAAAAAAAAAAAAAATAAAAAAGAAAACTCCATCAATCGGCATCAGTTGGAAAAGCACCCCAGCCATTGTACATCAAATGTGACTTACAATGTCAGACCAAATGAAATTTTCCCCCTCCTCAGCCCCTGGCCTTTTCCTCCTTACATTTTTGGCTTCCAAGCATTTTGCTTTAGCATTTTCATCATTTCAAAGTCAAATGTTGGATAAATAAAACAGTTTTCTGTAGTTTTTCGCTCTCTCCTGATTTTCTGTGTATGTGTGCTTCTGTCTTGTTTTTCTGTTTTCCTGTATTTTTTTTTAGCTTTTCTCAGAATTCATAATTGAATGTTTCTCTCAACTTTGTGGGGATGATATGGGATTTGCAATTGAATTAAATTCTGATGCCGTTTGTCTATGGATTCTGTTCAGTTTTGGAACTTTTTCGGCCCGTCTCTAAGGGGGAGGAGAAAAGTGGGATACTTTGATTGAGATTTTCCTCACAGAAGCCAGGGATAATTGTGGCTAGTTGAGCCTGGGCAAGGAAATTGCGGCTCTACAGATATAAATATATATTATTGGTATATATATGTTTTGGGGAAAATGTACCTTTTAAAGGTAATTGTAATTAATATTTAATGTTTTTATATATTTAGGATATATTTAGCTAGTTAGTGATTTGATTTCTAGGATGTTTTTGACGGAATCTTCTTCAGTATACCGAAATTCTCTAGTCTCCCTTGATTTTAATTTAAGTTTTCAATTTAACCTAATGGATTTTTAAGCTCTTTTCAGTACAATAAGAATACCTATACCTTATGTTACTTTACTAAACTTGACTCACAAGTTTGGTTAAGCATGTTTAGCTTTTTCTCCAAGAGATCTAAATGAGTTTTATACATTAAATAAATTGCTGTCTTGATATTAAATAAAAAAGCATCAAGAAAAAAGCTTAAGCCGCTTAAAAAAGAAAGGATGAAAAATAAGGGAAATATATAAACCTCAATGGAGAAAAGGTTGCTTCGTCCATTTCGAAGCCAAGTCAAGCCCCACAAATGTCATTGCGAAAATGTTTTAATTGAGCCCAAGAACGAGTCTTCAGTCCAAAGAGAGAGAGAGAGGGGGGGAAAACCCAAGTACTATAAAAAAGAAAAGAGTGAAAGCATTTTTCCCACAAATAAAATAGAATTTCCAGCCACAGGCAAGCGTGCGTTATTCATTTTTGAATTTATAACACAATTGGGAGGAATGCCAGTGAATGTCAAAGGAGGAAAACTGGAAGGAACCCGGGGAAGGGGGAGTAAAAAAAGGAGTGAAAGCGCGCTTGCCTTTTGCCATTTTTTATATATTTTTCCAGCTTCTATTTTGTATTTTTTTTTGCTTCGAGTATTTTCTCCTTTTTTTTTGTTGGCTGCCTGCCTTGCGCACATAAAAATAGAAATAAATAAGAATGTGTTGAGGTTGAGGTTGAGGGCAAAAGGAAATCGTGTCGCGGCAAATGTGACAGACGGCGGCTACCGTTGCTACACTTTTTGCAGAATTTTTCCACCCTCTCTCTCGAGAGAGTTTTCCCCACCCGCATTTTCCTCGCACACACTTACACGCAAATGACTCGAGTTCGCGGCAAATTGACAAAAATGTGAAAAAGAAAAGCGGGCAGAAAAAAAGAAGGAATAAGCTACCAAGAAGTCGAGTGTAACCTGTGCAAATGACGATAATGATCATCGCAATGATGAGGATGATGCTGATAAAGATGACAAGCGACGGAATGTTGCCAGTTGACAGCTTGGAATATTTTTTAAAGTCACCTTTAGCAGAAGTCACAGAATTCCTTTGCACTCATTTTTCGTATTTCTAGCTGGCTGGCTCATGAATTGTTTTAAGAAATGGAATGAATGAATCATTGCTGCATTTTTTTAAAGCTAATTTGAGTTAATTTATGCTTACCCCAAGTAATAGTATTTCAAAGAGGTATTAACCCTTGTTTCTTCATTTTTGCAACCCCCAATCAATGGCCAATTGTTAATCAATGATCTGTGTACCAAATTAATCGTCAAAAGAAACCGCCATGAAACTGAAGTCCTACATGCAAAAGGCCTCTTATACCCCTCTCATTTTCTTTTTCCCATTTCTTTATTTTATATTTTTTGTATGTTTTTTGGGTTCGAATATCGGCAAAGACCCGCAGCTGAGACTCGAGAGCAACCCTTTCTCCCCTACCATGAGTCATGGTTGTACTTTGGTTAGGGGTTCTTGTGTTTACCCACAGATAAACCCACTCCCAAAGAAGACATATAACACACAGCTGTGATGTATTTGTCAATTAATTAAATCAATATGTTAAATAAATATTTAACTATAATAAATTGATAATTTCGATGAGGAAATCAAGAAAAATACAAAATATGTAATTATTTTAAATATATTAACCATTTCCTTATATATTTCTGACTTGAATACAACCTTTAACCTTTGTTTTATATTTCTAAAACCCACTGTAAAGGGCAACTCCCCTAACTCTTCTGTTTTCCTCCCCCTATTTTCCCTACCTCTTTCTACTCTTATTTCCAGTACAATCAACCGACCTTGTACAGGGGGAAAAATAAATAAATAAAAAAAAGAAAGAGAAAGAAAAATTATTGAACATACACCACACCACACAGTGTGCAAATATGTGTGAAATTTATTTGCCACAGCCCGTAGTCCCCAAAGGGGTTGGGTTCCGTATCCGTATCCGTATCCGCATATCCATGCTACATATACCTACATATATATTATATATATATACATATATATCACGGACAACCCTTTCATTGGGCTTGTTTAAAAATCACTTGATTGCACAAATGCTCATTGAGCTAATTTTATTTACGGGAAGAGAGAAATAGGAACTCGAACAGAGGGAACCTGAGCCACGTTTACATTTGATGGGATTCCAATTTCCATACGGAGAAGAAGCCTTACCCAAAAACAAACTTGACCAAATTATAAGCTTCAGCAATGTGGAAAAATGTGTTTTGTCCTCAAAAAAAAAAAAAATACAAAATAAAAAAATATACAAAACAAAAAAATATACAAAACAAAAGACGCTTGATCATATTACCGGACTCCTTCGACTTTGATGCACTTGAGCCGTGTCAGAAGTAGTCACAAAGTGGCCCCAAGTTTCGTCCCTTTTTTTGCTTCGACTTTGTTGTTGTGTTGACCTTTCCGGGGGTCACTTTAATTAATTACATGAAATGAGTGTTGTTTCTCGTTTATATATATATTCTTCTTTTTTTTCAGCTTTTGTCCATGGGCCAAATTACAGAGGACAGACAACAAGGTGTAATGGAAGCCGCTGGGTTCCTTGGTTGGTACACGTCTTCAGGTAAAACAATTTCTAATTGCGCAATTTTAGCTAGAACAACTTTTCATTTTAGCTAAATGAGAAATGGTTAGTGGGGGTTTACACTTTAAAAATGATTATTTAAATTAAATTACCGAATTTCTGTATAGAAAGTATGATTTAATTAAAGCAGCGGAAGTTGCCGAGTCAAGTTATGATTTATCTAGTATTGATTTTAATGCCTTAATTTTTTTCTCTCTCTATATATATATATATTTCTCTCTCTTTTTTTTGAAAGAAAGCTAATTCAATCTGTTGACTGCATTTCCACTCTTAAGAAGTTGTCAAGAAAGTCGTCACTGATGGTTCAACGAACTAGTTCGCACTTGAAATGAGTTTCTGAGTGCGTGACAAAGTTTCTCGCCCAGGATCCATTTTCCCTACCTCTCTCTCCTCTCTATCCCTCTGGACTTTTCTTGGCCGGCTTTGAACTTCCATTACCATTACCCCAAAAAAAAAGTAGAAACTCCCAAAAACCAAAAGGCAAACCAAGGCAAAAGAGCCCCATTTTGCACAGCTTCTTCTTCGCCCTGGCTTTCGTTTTTTGGGCATGTTTGGCAATTAAATCATTTTGACCATAAATCGAATTTCACAACACACAAGCGCACACATAGCTACAGTGTTAATCCAATTAACTTGGCTTGCATCAAACACATTCCTTTCCACCTTTGGTACGTCGACGAAGGACGAAGGACGCAGGACGCAGAGGGTGAAATAAATAAAGAAATGAAAACAGTTTCAAAGAAACTCAAACTTCAAGTTTTATAGTTCCCTGCTTCTGTTTCCCTCCCTCCCAAGTTCCCAAGTTCTCTTCGGTTCTCCGGTTCCACTGGCTACAAATTTCATACGAAACTTGGCTCAGTAAAACTTTTCGCAGGCATTTCATTGGAATATAACTTCCGGACCTTTCCCTTCGGATCCGCAAAGGTGGTAGGACATGCCGCCATCAAGCCAGAAAAGCTTGTCCTGACAAATGTTTTCATTGATTTTTACGAGCAGTGAACGCATATAAAATAAATTCACTTTTTTCTCCTCGTACTTCTCGTACTCCTCCTACGTTCTTTATTTATTTTTTGACCAAAACAAAAAAAAATCACGACTTTAGTGTAAGCTGAGCCGGAAAAAAAGTAAAGAAAATCGTGAAAAACTTTATACAAAAAAAAAACAATCTCTTGTTATTTACTTTCGTTTGTTTTGCGTGTTCCATGCTCTTGTTGTTATTGTTCCACGTCACTATCAAGGGGGGAAAAATAACGAAAGAGAGTGTCAGTTTTACGATTTCCATGCGGGCTCCACGTTGGGCGCCATTAACGATCTAGCACAGCGCCTCCTGTGCGTGTCCTGACATGATGTGTATATGTGCGTCGTAAACGCATCATAAACAGTTGGAAAAGGAGAACCATAGCCCATCGTGACTGCATCATCATCAAAATTATATGTATATATTTCATATTTACTCTTTTCTTTTCAAAATACACACACACACACACTCTTTATTT